TAAAATATAATTTCTTTCTACTCATTTTTTATTTTTCTTAATCTAAATATATAATAAAATAAAAATTTAACAATATTAGTAGTAGTTGTCTTAATTTTTGCTATTAACTTATCTCTATTCTATTCGATAACTATATTAAATCTGATTAATTCGAAATCGAATCACGTCGGGTCTTATTAGGTGGAAAAACTTTCCCACCACTTATTTTCTCATTCAGAAAATTCAAATTCAAAATTTTATTTCAAAAAAATCAAATTTCTTTTACTTAAATTAATAATTCCTTCCTAGTTGTCGTAATAATAAGTAAATAAAAAATTAATAGTTGCCCGTGAGGATTCCCGTGGAGTGGAACACCTGGACTCTTTCTAATTCTATTCTATGGGCCAAAAGCCCACAAACCACAAGACAAAAAAGACTTCGAGAGGAGAATATAGATGACTGAACCAGGGTTAGTTGAAAATCTAACCATGGTTAAACATTAGGGTTAGATTATATTATATTTCTTGGGTGCACGCTGTTTCGCAGAAAAGAATAAACGGCTGCCTGCTTCGGAAAGCTCTCTCTTCTTCTTCACAGGCGATTGCCCACCCAATCTCAGGTTTATAATAATCACTGCCTCGATTACTCAGTTCTTCCTTTGATTTTTCTGTTTTTATTTATCTTTCCTTATAATTCGTATGAATCGAAATCTTTTTTTTTTTTTTTTAATTTTTTGTTTACATGATTATTATGTTTTATAGAATTGAATCTGAAATTTAAAGCCGTAGGGATCTGAATTTTCCTTCAATTTAATCAAATTTGATGAATTTTATTTTAGATTGGTGGATTTTTAAGCCTTGAAATTTTATTTTATAGATTTATTTTAGATTAGTGGATTAGGGATTTAGATTCTCGGCTTAACCTTAAAATTATTTCCTAATTTTGTAGCACTACTCTTCTGTTTCAGTTTTAGATGCCTATATATGCTTATTATACTGTTTAATTTTTGGCATATTCTTCTGTTATTATTTTCAAGATTGCCGCTGATGTTTCTTGGGATTAGGATAATGTAGACATTTATTTATGTTTATATATTTCACCTGATTTTGGAGTGCTTGATTTGACGTTCATTGTTTACGTTATAGAATAGGTTACTTATCTGCCTTCCCTTCTAAATATTAGGAGTAAAATTATTCCAAATTCAATAAATTCCTATCGAAAAAGACTAAATATTATATTTTTAAAGCATAAATTAGAGTGGTTTTTGTTCTTTCCTGTAGTGCTTTATTGAAACGACATGGTTTTGAAATAATTTTCCGCAGATAAGTAGTAACCCCATATATATATATATTGTTGAATTTCAACTTGTTATCGACTTGGCTTATTGGTGGTACCTAATTCTGCCCTCTTTTTTGGCAATTGCAGCTTTTAGCAATGGCAGACGCTCATGAGAATGATAAGAACATTGAGATATGGAAGATCAAGAAGCTTATCAAAGCACTTGAGGCTGCTAGAGGCAATGGCACAAGCATGATATCTCTCATCATGCCTCCACGAGATCAGATTTCTAGAGTTACTAAGATGCTTGGAGATGAATTTGGAACTGCTTCAAACATCAAGAGCAGGGTCAATCGTCAGTCTGTGCTTGGTGCCATCACTTCTGCTCAGCAGAGGCTCAAGCTTTACAGCAAGGTTCCTCCCAATGGCCTCGTGCTCTATACTGGAACCATCATAACTGAGGATGGGAAGGAGAAGAAAGTCACAATTGATTTTGAGCCTTTCAGGCCTATAAATGCATCTCTTTACCTCTGTGACAACAAGTTTCATACTGAGGCATTGAATGAACTTCTGGAATCTGATGAGAAGTTTGGTTTTATTGTCATGGATGGTAATGGGACTCTCTTTGGGACACTAAGTGGTAACACCCGAGAGGTCCTCCATAAATTCAGTGTTGATCTACCAAAGAAGCATGGGAGAGGAGGACAATCAGCTCTTCGTTTTGCTCGACTTCGAATGGAAAAGCGCCACAACTATGTGAGGAAAACAGCTGAACTTGCCACACAGTTTTTCATTAATCCTTCCACCAGTCAGCCTAATGTTTCTGGATTGATACTTGCTGGGTCAGCTGACTTCAAGACTGAGTTGAGTCAATCAGATATGTTTGATCAGAGACTTCAAGCAAAAATCCTGAATGTTGTTGATGTCTCTTATGGGGGAGAGAATGGTTTTAACCAGGCAATTGAGTTGTCTGCAGAAATACTATCTAATGTGAAGTTTATTCAGGAGAAGCGCCTAATAGGAAAATACTTTGAGGAGATAAGCCAGGATACTGGAAAGTATGTTTTTGGTGTGGATGACACATTGAAAGCTTTAGAGATGGGAGCTGTTGAGATCCTTATTGTGTGGGAAAATCTTGACATCACTAGGTATGTGCTAAAAAACAGTTCTACAGGTGAAGTTGTCATAAAACATCTGAACAAGGATCAGGAAACCGATGAGAAAAACTTTCGTGATTCAGCTAGTGCAGCAGAATTGGAAGTTCAGGAGAAGATGCCTCTGTTAGAGTGGTTTGCCAATGAGTACAAGCGGTTTGGATGTAGTCTTGAGTTTGTTACCAACAAATCACAGGAGGGATCCCAATTTTGTAGAGGATTTGGAGGGATAGGAGGCATTCTCCGTTACCAGCTTGACATGAGAGAATTTGATGATCTTTCTGATGATGGTGAAGTTTATGAAGATTCGGAATAGCAATCAATTAAATTTACCCCATCACAGGTGCAGGATGATGGGGTAAAAAGCAAGAAGGCTGCACCGGCGCGAGCTGTTCGCGTTTCTTCTGCTGCTCAGAATGTCCCACATGTTTTCAAAGCTCTAATTAAGGTTTTTATTCCAAAACATCTCTAGTTATTCATATTGTAGCTTGTAGGTGTTCATTTTCTGTTCTACCATGTGTCTGTTTGTGGTGTTTGAATGCATTTTTTTTTAAATTTTTTGTGCTTTGTTCCTGATTGCCTTCTTTTCCACCTTCTTGAATTTAATGGATTGTGCAGACCGTATACAGTGATGTTTCAATCAAGTGGATGATGGAGCCAGTTATGAAGTCAATATGTGGCCGGAAAAAGCATCTAAACTTGCAAGGTTTCACCTTGAGGCTGGAGCTAGCTTCTATTTACGTGGATCTAAATCCTTTGCACGTTTGTATCTCGATGGTCCAGCTCTGATCTGGAAACTCAGTCTATCATGCATTTGTGGTTTAAGATTGCCTTGGTTTACAAGGTCATGCTTGTCAGTACTATTTCTGTGTTTTAGCTATGGTTGCCAGTACTGTTTATGTTTTTTTAACAATGTGTTGGTATTCTCACTGCTTTGATTACAAAGCAGTTGTTGTCTTGAAAAATTGATTCTGCTGGAGTCTTTAACTTCTACTGTTGGTTGGAAGATTCTCATTATAAAAGTTATATGTTTGAATGTGTGTGGTAAATTTTTTTTTTTTAATTTGGATGATATTTAATGTGCTACTAATTTGTGTTTCTGGTTATTTGTGGTTCCGGAGCTAATCTTCTTCTTTTGTGGTATACTGATATCATGCATCCTATGCTTTAAAGCTTCTTCATTATTTTTGCCATTGAGGGTCGTTCTTATATCTGAGCCAAGGGGAGTTTTTTTCAGTATAACTAGTCTCTGTTACTGTATGCTTTACTTGCACTCAATGAAACTCATTTGGTTCTTTTACAAATATATTGATTAGATGTGGAATTTTATAATCCAATCAAAATAAACTTCCAACAAATTATTAATTGAAAATGCAAACAACAATTAGAACAATTAAAAAAAAAAATAGTAACAATCAAGAGAAGCTGATTTGAAATTGAAATCACTTCTTTTTAATGGGATATGAAGCTGTCTTGTAGATACCACAAAGTCCTTCAGGTTTTCCGATATTCCTCTTCATCCTTATGTACCCCTTTTCTCCCCATTTAGGTCCCCACGAGTTCTTCACTATGATATAGTCCAACCCCTTGGTTGAGCCATACCCAACAGCTGCCACTCCATGGTCCAGTTCACTCCCACAATGTCCATCAAATACGCCCTAATAAAACATCCAAATTTAATTGGTAAAAATTAAAAATCCTTAACAAACGGTTACAATGATATGTTCGGATAAAAATTACTCAAATAAAAAAGAAAAAGAAGGCAAAGACGAGTTTTTAGACAAAAGGAAATGATTAATATTTTGACCTCGTTTGGTTCGAGCTCGATTCATTCACTTACCCCACTGTAAAATTGGAAGTCTCTCCCAGAAGCTTCAATGGCAACGCTTACAGGCTGATTTGCAAGTGCCTTCAACAGGCTCTCTTCACTGTTTTCAGGCACATCCCTATATCCACTTATTGTTACCATTCCAGACTCATGCTAAAAGAAAATATTCAAAAAGGATAAAAAGAGTCAGTGCAGGCATAGAAATGGACCAATGCTCAAATCAATTTTGAGGTTTATTTGTGAGAAGAGAAAGTCATTGAATAACTTAAATTGTATCAAATTGTAAAATATAACTAAAGAGTTGCCCTCAAATATTAGTCTCTCTCTATCTAACTGGTTCAGTGCAGTCCGAAGTACTTTGTAGTAAGTTGTTTGTGCATACCTTCGTCAACTCACAAGTTCCTTCCTCCATGATATATGGGTAGTCTTCCTCCTTGCGAAGCCCACCATTGGAGACTATGAAGGAAAATGCATAATCCATCAGACCTCCATTGCATCCGCTGTTGTATGTGGTATCACAGTCGATAAGCTCTTGCTCCGACAGCTCCGTCAAGTTTCCGGTGACAATCTGGTTTATTCCCTCCACAGCAGCCACCGTTGAAAACGCCCAACAACTTCCGCAAGACCCCTGGTTCTTCACACGAGTAACCGCTCCTTTCTTTCTCCAATCAACCGACTTGGGCAAATCAACTACATCTCCGTAAGTGAATTCCCGGCTATCAGAGGATCCCCGCCGTCTGGCCAACTCAGGCTTCAAACCCAGATACATTGTCGTGAACTCTTCGTGGGTCAAGTCGGCAAAATGGTTGAGTCCGAGCCAGTAATTGGTGACCTTTTTGTTGGTCTCATCGATGTGGTTGAGATTATCCTTGAAGATATCAAATCTGTGCAGTTTCTCTTCGATGGTGTGATAAATTTTTCCATGTTTGGCCATCCAGGACTCAAAGAGCTCAATGAGTTTGTCCATGGAGGTCAAATCTTGAGGAGAATAGCCCACGATTGAATAATCTCGGGCAAAAGTTGAAAGTTGGAGGAGACAAAAGGAGAAAACAATGAGAAGGATTTTAGAGGACATCGTGGGGATAGCCATTGTAGGAGTTCAATCAATGGTTGAGTTTGATGAAGATGAAGATGAAGGGGGTGGTTTATATAGGTTGTGATTGAGGAATTTGCTTTAATTTAAAGTAAGGTTGATGGGTTAATTCTTCCCCCCCCTTTTTTTTTGCCTTCAATGATCACTATAGCTTTAAGATTGGTTTTGTTTGGATTACTTTGAATCCAAGTATATGATTTTGAATAGGAAATAATTCCAAGTATTTTCTGAGTTCCAAAGGATGTGAGTATTTCTGTGTTCTAATTTCTGAAGAGGGTGAAGTTGATTTCTGTGTTCTTTTTCTATTATATTGGAACTGTAGCTTGGTGAGGCAGCTCTGAAACTGGTAAACGATCATATTTAATCTTTTTATTTTTTTTACCCAATAAATTTTATTGTTTATATTGTTCATCATGTATTTTATATTCTATCTTTTGCGGCAACTAATGGAGTTCAACTCTTTGGGTAATTTCGTTTCATCAATAAGTTAATTTTTCATTTTTTATGCCCAGCTATATTACAATTCATATTGTTATTATTACACATATATATTTTTTGTTAGTGTATGGTTTAAAATTTTGAAAGTCTGAAAGTTTTGGTTTTATTAATATACCATGTTTATCTTTCGTGAATCAAATTGTTCAATACATTATGTCATTTAAGAAGTTTCAATCGAGAATCTATTTTTACAGGTCTTTCTTTTGGATTGAGAGCAGATAATTTTCCCCTTTTTGAGTTGTGCTTTTTCAAGGTCTGTTCACCTTTTATGTGCTTCAGAGCTTCTTTATTGTTTTTGCTATCAAATCAAGGGGCATTCTTGAATCTCAGCCAAGTAATGGGTTTCTTTCAATTTAACTAGTTTCTGTTACTCTATGGCATATTTGCATCCAAAGAAACAACTGTAAAACAATTTTTTGGTTCTTTTACTAGATATCTTGAATGGGGTTGTTTGGTGCTTTTTGTTTTTGTTTTTTCTCTCTATTTTACTTCAGAATGGCTGGGCCAAAAATGGGTTTTCTTATTTCTTCTACCTGAAATCGTGAATGGGTTTGATGGGGAGATTTGGAAATGGACCCTCCATTTTATTACTGCGTATGTGTGTGATTCAGAAGTCTATGTTGGAAATTACTATTTCATTCTGAGAGAGCCAATCTGGTTATGCAATTATGCTTTTTTTTTTTCTTGTTTTGAATGGTCTAATTATTCACTACTTCATTGTTGATGATGCATCTCAACAGCCGCAGCTCCCAATGATTAAACATTTTTTTATAGAAGTTTCAGCCTTGTCTGAATCATTCTTTAGTTTTCAGGGACTTATCTGTTTCTCTTATGGACACATGTTCCATGTCGGTTTGTTATCTGAGGCATGATGTACCAAAGTTCGGTACACATTGCTTTCAAATTCTTCTTCTTAAGATTATCACCAGTGCTCCAGCAAAAGTTTATGGATTTCAAGATAATCTTGAATTTGGTTATGCTATTATGAATTTGCAGGAGTATTTTTGGAATGTGTGGTCCAAACAGAATTTGGTATAGCATTTGTTGTGCATCTCTTAATATTTACTGTTAAACATTAAGAGGTATTCTCCTTTTTTATAGCTTAGATGGAAAGATGCAAATGTCATCCACACCAAACATCCTGGGAGATTGGTTTGAAAGCTGATGATTGGGATCATGGAAAAAACAGGCTGACTGTGAATTGCCAGAAGCCTGACTGCGAGGCAAGCTTGGTTGGAGGCTTCCTTAGCAATGCTTTAATTAGGTGACAGCAGCAGCAGCAGCAGCAGCAGCACCACCATTGTGGATCATGTTTTTCTACTCCTTTTTGTGATGGCAATGTTTGTTGTAGCAGAAGAATGTTGGTATGATTATCACTATTTCATTCTTTGCTGTTATAATGTAACTGCAATTGAAGTTGTGAAGGAACGGGGTTAGGCGTTAGGGTCCTTGTATTCCAGTCTAGTTGTGGGAATGCTGTTAATATATCTTTTTGCTTTTTCTATTGTTATCATAAAAACTATGTTAGTGGTAATGTTTGATAATTATTTGGGATTATCTAACATGTGCCATAAAGAAAGTAATTAATAGAGTATCAGAAATATTTAATAAGGTATCTCCATTTAAATTTTTTAAGAGCTTAAATGATAAGATTTTAATTTTATTTAACTTTTATAGTAAAGCATAACTTAAAAGTGTAATTAATATATATATATATTTAATATTAATTAATATAAAAAATAACAAAATCTAATATTAATTTTTTTAATATTATATGTATCATTTTAATTAAACAGTTGACTAAATAAATGTTTAGTTTTACCTTTTAATGACAATTAATACTAAAAAAATATTTTTAGCATATATCATTAAGATAGATTATAAAAATCCTTTATAAAAAAGAATTATACATTTATATAAATTTGTAAAAAAGTGTTTATTCATAAAATTTTTAAAAAGTTAGGAAATTTTTTTTAAAAATTACGCTATTTTAATAAAATTATTTATAATCTTTTTCATAATACTTTATTAAAATAATATAATTTAAAAAAAATTTCTTTCTCATTTTTTAAAATTCTGGCTATGATCACTAATATCATAAATATTGCATAACTTTATTTAAATTAAAAACTAAAATAATTATTATATAAAATAAACACCAACTTTAGTCCTTAAACTTTCAATTTTTAACAATTTTAGAACATTGCTTGGTGGGAAACCATATTCAACCCTCAAATGTGACATTATCATGGTTCAATTAGCTAAAAGAAGTAATGGAACATCCAAAAAAGAATGAAGGTTCCGACATATGCCTACACTTTGAGAGGGATTATAACAACTCTTTTCTCTATTCTCAGTTACCAAAAAAAAAAAGAAAAAAAGAAACAAAAAAGGCAAGAGAAGTGTTCTCATCAACAAAATACATTACGGTTTGGGGACGCAGAATTCCTAATAGCTTGACATTTCATATATAAACCAAATTCCTCCAGCGCGAAGCCATCCACCCACTGATAGATTAACACAAGATGCTTTGTCCAGCCATCCTATTTCTGTAACATAAGAGGATGCAAAAGAAGATTAAAAAGAACAAAAAAAAAAAGGCATTACTTTAACTCCTTTTATCAACAATGCCACCAAGCTAAAGTAATTTTTTCAAAGAAAAATTGATCAAGCAGATATCAGTCCCCCTCAAACAAATAATAATAAAGGTATCCAGTACTCTGTCCCCCAACAAATGTAACGTGCAACGTTCACATGGTATCAACTTCACAATTCATTGCACAAATTCACCTATATACCTGCGCTAAAAAGACTACTGTTTTTATCTTAATTTCATATTGAGTCGGGGATTTTGTGTGCTTATGCGGTTGGGGAAGGGGCTTTAATTAATGCTGTAAAGCATGTCACTTATCTGTCCAAAATCATCCATGGTACTACAGCAACTAACATAACAAGTGAAATTGTGAAAAAGAGGAATGATGTTAGTTTGTAAATAAAGAGATGAAGATCTGGTAAGTGCAGAACTAAAACTTTCCATTGAACAAATCTGCTTTTTACAAGGAAATAAAGAAACTACTAAAAACTGAAGTTAACTGCATTCCAATGGAAAAACAAACTGGATTAAAAACCAACTAATAACTGCTACAAACTGAAAAAATAGTGTGACAGCATTTGTGTCACTGTCTTTACATTGCTGTTTTCACTCCTCCTTGACACTAATGCTGCTCATCCCAAGCTTGTCTCTTAGTGTCTCAAATCTGAACTTGTGCAATCCTTTAGTGAATATATCAGCAATCTGGTCATCTGAATCACAATGCAAAACCTGAACTTCACCTTCATTAACCATCTCCCTAATAGAATGATATTTAATCTTGATATGCTTGGTTCTACCATGAAGAATAGGATTCTTAACAATTGCAACAGCAGATAAATTATCACAAAACAACTCAGTAGGATGCATTTGAGGTTGTTTTAAATCATTCATTAGTTTCTTGAACCACACAGCTTGATCTGCAGCAAGAGAAGCAGCAATGTACTCAGCTTCTGCTGTTGACTTGGCAACTGAGTCTTGCTTCTTAGAACTCCAACTAATCACCCCTGAACCAATAGAAAAACACTGTCCTGAGGTACTTTTCATGTCTTCCTCTGAACCAGCCCAATCACTATCTGTAAATCCAATTAGCTTCACATTTGTTGACCTTTTATAAAGAACACCAAAATTAGTTGTTCCCTTCACATACCTTAGGATCCTCTTGGCTGCCTTGAAGTGTATTTCACTGGGAGAATGCATAAACCTAGACAAAAGGCTCACTGAATGCATTATATCAGGTCTAGTTGCTGATAAATATAACAATCTCCCAATTAAACTCCGATATACTCCTACATCAATTTTAGCTGCACCATCATCACTTCTTAGCTTCTCATAAGGAACCATAGGTGTGTTGACTGTTTTGCAATTAACTATTGCAAACTGATTCAAAATCTCATTAGCATATTTCTTCTGACATATGAATATACCTTGACTAGTCTGACTGATTTCCATTCCAAGAAAGTAGGACATTTTCCCTTAGTCATTCATTTCAAATTCCTTCTTCATTTCAACTTTGAACTGCTGGATCAACTTTTCATTGCTGCCAGTGATGAGAAAATCATCCACATAAATTGTAACAATCAATAAATCAGCTCCCTCTTCTTTGACATAAAGAGTGACTTCAGTGAGACTCTTTACAAAATCCAATTTCAGCAAATATTCATCTATTCTGCTGTACCAAGCTCTAGGAGCTTGCTTAAGTCCATACAAAGCCTTTTTGAGCAAATAGACTTTGTTTTCAGTACCATTTTTAACAAATCCATCAGGCTGCTCCACATGTATTTCTTCTTTCAAATAACCATTCAAGAAAGCAGATTTAACATCAAGTTGGTATACAAACCAGCATTTCTGAGCTGCTAGTGCCAAAAGCAATCTGATGGTATCAAACCTGGCCACCGGCGCAAATGTCTCACAAAAATCAATTCCAGGGAGCTGTGAGTATCCCTTTACCACAAGCCTTGCTTTGTGCTTGTTTGTAGAACCATTGGGATTAAGTTTCACCTTATAAACCCACTTAACACCAATGACTTTCTTGTTATTTGGTCGATTCACAAGCTGCCATGTATCATTTTTCTGAATCATATTGAACTCCTCCTGCATTGCAGCTCTCCAGACCTTTGACTTCACAGCTTCATAGAAATTTGGAGGTTCAACAACACTAACATTACACCTTGCATAAATATCAGCTAGTGATCTAGTACCTCTAACTGCATAATCCTCATCAGTTTCATCTTCAAGACTAGTCTCAGAAGATATAACTTCTGAATTCTCCCAATTCCAAGTTGCAGCTTCATTAAACTTCACAT